GGATAGGATACGAATACGGATATTTTCTCCCGGATACGGATACGGATATGGTATCGGGGTTTCCGTCGGATACGGATAATAATTTGGATATCCAGTGAACAGTGCTATTCGGATATCCGCAGAAGCCATGAGACATATCCCATTTCTTTCTAACTCTATAACCTTCAAAATACATTTATAGATTTTAATAGTAGTTTATCTCTTAACACTAGTCAATACTATTAATATTATTTAAATTTTAAAAATATTTATAAATTATATTTTATTTTATATAAAATGAGCTAATTATATATGTTGATATTTGTTTCTATTAGAAGTTCAGTTGGTTTTTGTGTTCCGAGAAAAATTTGTTTCCGTATTCGTGTCCGAACATATTCGATTCTTATTCATATTCGAGATAATCCATATTTGTTTCCGTATTTGAGCTATCCGTATTCATTTTCGTGGTATAAGCATTATCCGTCTGTATCCGCTCCGTTTTCATCCCTACCTCCGGGTTGATAATACTTATCGTTTTGGACAAGGGCACGGCCGGTCTTCAAAAATCAACTTTGACCATTAATTTTTATTATAATATGTATATAAATATTAACAAATATATGATTTTATTGAAGTATTTTCTAAGACTAATCTATAAATATAGTCACCATATTTTATTGACAAATATTTTAGAAATTATTCATAATTTTGACCTCACCCTTGTCCTCACCCTTGTCCAAAACGAACGAGTATTATCAGCCCGAAGGGAGTACTCGTGTTTGCCACATATTTAATTGGAAAATGCTACGGAACATTATCCTGTTCGAACGGTATGATAACTTATATCCATTCTCCAATTAATTTAGTTAAACCCGATTCAAGTTAATCAGGACATATCTCTTACTTATTCCGAGCCCGGTAACAAGAATTCTGTTCTGTGACAGCGGCTAGATCCCGAAGTCACTTTTATGGGCCAGTGATCAGCTTATTTGGACCGGACTGGGTCAAAATACTTGGTGGAGGCATATCTAGCCCATTAGCCCTACGCGTTAAGCACTTCATCAGCTTGATGGTCGACAGGGTAAGGTCCGTCCCTGTTTGTTTGCCTCTCCCTTGTATTGAGGTTTAGCCCAAAGGTCTCTCTGATAGGCCGGGCTCAAGCGGAATATATACATACATATTCTAGTTCAAAAATATTTTAAAAAATTTCATACGTATTCTTTTAATTGGTCTTATTTTGCAGAAATTGTTGCAAATGCTCAAAAGAGCTGTCTAGCTATTTGAATCTTTTGAAGTGTGCTAACCCAAAGAGTTTATATCTCCATGTTGTGCATAAATCTTACTGCTGCATATCAAATCGTTTCTATGATTTTTTTTCACTGAGCCATAGCTCCATTGGACAAGGAATCGTTTCTTTTTCACTGAGCCATAGCTCGATGAGAAATTTGAGATATACCATCAATCCGTACGCCTTTGCAAAAATACCACTGAATTGTGAATGTTTTGATTTCGTGCCACTTTCACCGGAGGAGGGCAAAAGGCGGTGGCCCTTGGTGGCGGTGGGCGGCCCTTGGTGGCGGTGGGCAGTGTCCCTTGGAAAGTGGCGGTAACGGCAACAGTGATAGCGGCGCAGTGGACAGCTCACCCCGTGGCATCTCCTCCGCCTTGCCTCTGCAGCACCAATTGGCGACATGGGGAACGCTGCGGTGGCTACTGACGAAGACGGCCAGGCTTCGCGTAGGCAGCAATTCGGGGTCGGTGCAGCACCACGAACACGGGAAGCTGGTGCAGGTAGGGCGGCTAGGTGGTGTCACGGCGGGCTTGGCCAACGGCAGCCAAGGAGGAAGAAGAAGAAGAAGATGGCAAGGAGACTTGGCGTTTTTTTTTGTGCGAATTGGGATCGAGGAGGTGATTTGGGGCTAGCGTGACACCGGGAACTCGATGGTGAGGCAACATGGCTTCACGGTCGGCAGCTGATCACCGCGTGCCAAGGGCCACTGCCTCCTGCCCTTCTCTGACGAAAGTGGCACGAAATCACAATATGTATATCCATCCACCTCTCTTTTTTGGATGAAATTTTGAGGCATGCGGATTGGGTGGCAAAAATTTAAAGGCATGCTAACAAATTGCCATATCCTCAAAATTCGCTTCTGTTTCAAAGGAATTGTAAAGAAAAAGTACAGGAATATGCAATCCTTTGGAATGGACACTATACTGTCATTCGTTTCAAAGGAATGCACCAAATAAAAAATTCCTATCCCTCCACTTTTAGGGGGAAAACAAAGGAAAAAAAATAATCCACTCCAACCCAATGTTTTCAATCCTTTGGATTGTTTGCTACATAACCATTGGAAAATTTCATATGTTTTCCAATCCTTAGGTTTGCACATGCATTCCTATATTATTCCTATCTTTTCTCTTTTTCTACATTTTGATAATCCTACAAACTGAACAAGCCCTAAGATTGGACAAGGAGAATGTACATCCCATTGGCATCATCTCCAAATAATTCCGTCTAACATCCATATGGTTAGTTGATTAATGTTTTGCTGGGAATAATGATGAAATAAAGTATTCTCATCAGGTCAGCGCACTTCCGCCCTGTCCATCACATGCTCCCGGAGTGAGATGATTGGCGGCCTTGCATCGATGCATCAGAGAAGCCCGGCTGCTGCTGCTGCAGTTTGTGCTGCTCTGGCTTCTGAACAACACATGTACTATTCTCTGTACTATATTAATAATATACTATATATTCTGTACTATGTTAATAATGTACTATACATTCTGTACTGGTATATTAATAATGTACATTATCAATACGGTGAGCCCACCAAATCAGTAATTAACTGTTCCATCTCTATGATGTTTATTAGCTTAAGTGAGTCACGTGGACACAAGGGGACATGATTAATCGCTATAATTAATGATACATCCATCCTCACAAACACATAAGAAAAAGATCCACTAATATACTTACTTCCTCTGGACATTTGTATGTACAAAAGTTTCATCTCGACATACATATGCACATAATATGTACAAAAATTTCTTCCTCTATATATACATATGCGGATTCATCCAAAAATGTTTTTTTAATAAAAAATGGAGTTTGTCACAATCACCCTGCAATATAGGAGTTTATGTATAAGTGCAAATATTAAAAATACCCTACAATAAAATAAGGTGTTACATCAAACGGAAACAAATCCTACGCACACCAACTAACAATTATAATAAATATCACATATATATATATATATAAACAATCTTAGACATATTGCTAATCTTACGCCACCTACTTCTAAATTGATATACATGGAAAAGAAATTCAAGTACAAATTTATTATATGTAAATAGCAAAAAAGAGAGAATATTTTGACAAACTTATACTTTCAGACGGTTAGAATTTCTCCTTTTCATTACTGAAAAAATATAACAAATTTGGATTTAAAATTATATATACATATATGTGGAATAATATTAGAAGTACATATAAAAGTTTCATTTGGAATTTCATGACATTTGTTATTTGATATTGTACTACTATGTGTCTAGAGTGCATCTAAAATCAGTATTCCCACTTGGAATAATGTAAACTCATGACTCTTATAGAAGCTCAACGTTGTGGAAGACATCCTCAATTAGGAAGCCTTAAATTTTTCTCTAACTTCTAGAAGAGTTGCTTGTTCATGAAGACTTCCCTTGGGAATATATGAAGACAAAATAGACACTTATCAAGACACCCAATTGTTGGTTCCTAACTGTCAACGTACATAAATAAATATTAAGAGTAAATTTTATAAACCTATAAATACTTTGATAAAACTATCGTAAAATTATAGATTTAAAGATGTGTATCATAAAACTATAAATTTAGCGTCAAATTTATCATAGAACTATAGGTTTAAAGCATCGTATCACAAAACTACAAATTTGCTGATGAAGTTATAAAAGGACTACATATTTTAGTTTTTATATCCATAGCACTATTGAGGTAAAAAAAATTATAGTTTTGTGATAAAACTAATGATAAATTTATAGTTGTGTGATGCACAGTTTTTGTGATAGATTGATCAAAGTATATGTAGTTTGTGAAATTTACTCAAATATTAATGTCAATGTTTGTCTAAGGGCAATATATTGCTATTATATTATCATTTGCGGATTAATATCAAATACTATAAATAATATAATATCTTTTTTTTTAATAGAGAAGAGAAGGAGGATAGAGCCGCCTAGCTGTCCCAGGCTTGTCAGCATCGAAAGCTACCAACCACGCTAGAGCCCATCTTGAACGGCCTCCTCCTCTTCTCCTTCATAAATCAACCGGCAGCGTCATTCCCCACACCGCATCACCTTGTTTGTCTCTGGTTGCTCGCGCAGATGGATTCGCCGACCATCCGCCTCGCCACCATTCGATCGCTACCGCCGCCCATCGCCATCCCTCTAAATCCAGGATATCCCATTTTAAAACTGTAAACTCTAATCTTGCGTCATCATCAGAGAAGAAGTCGCAGTCCCTGCCGCCATTGGCAGAATGTCACTGTCGACGGTAGGTTACCCCCTCCTCCCTACTCTCTTCCCCTTATTCAGAGCTTGGAGACGATTGTCTGCCCTTTAAATTTCAATCGTCAGGCAGCAGGCGATTGGAATCTGATCACGAAGGCTAGCATTCCCTACCATTTTTACCTTTGCCTTCCCCTTTATCCAAGATACTAGTAGTATCACCACTAAGGCTGTGTTTAGATCTAAAGTTTGGATCCAAACTTCAGTCCTTTTCCATCACATCAACATGTCATACACTCACAATTTTTCAGTCACATCATCTCCAATTTCAACCAAAATCTAAACTTTGCGCTGAACTAAACACAGCCTAACCACTCCAATTGGATCATGGTCCACTAGGATCATATCCATCTCATGTACTACTAGTAGATGTACGTTACATATCCCATCTCTCTCTCTATACGCATGCAGACGAGACATGCACACAAGAAGAGGCCGGGGCCGGGGGTAGTCGGGATGACTTGGGGCGGGCACACAAACGCACAACACAAGCTGACAGCGTCGCAGCGCTGGAGATCGAACCACGCAACCCAACCCGTGCTGCGAATCACACCACGCCCTACCAGCTGGACCGGAGATGGACCAGCCGCACCTCGCAGCCACCCCACGGCCCCCGAGAAGAGAACCCCGCCACCGCGGGAGCGGGACCCACCCCGCCGGTGGCTGCGTCGTAGCTGCGGCATCCACACCCAGTCAGGCAGTCACCCACTCCCACTCCCCCGCTCGAAAACCCCCAAAACCACCCGGAGAAACAGCAGGAAGGAGAGGAAGAGAGGTGGAGGTTGCCTTTGGCTGGCTGTGGAGAGGGTGAGACGGTGGGTGGGAAATTTCAAACTTGGCCGCCGGCGTGCTGTTCTTGGCTCCCCGGGGCGGCGCTGAGAAGGATGGGGGTGTCCGGGAAAGGCGGTTTCTTGGCGGTGGTGGCGGTGGTGGGGAGAGGCGCTGTCCTGCTCGCGGATGCGGCGAGGGTGGTGGATTTCGGCGAGGTGGGCTCGCCGCCTGCGCCGTCACCGGTGGCGGACGCGCCCTATCTCCCTGATGTGGCGTCTCCTCCTGCAGGTGAGCATACACTTCTCTTTTTTTCACTCGTTTCGAGATGAAAAATGCTTTGCCTTTGTGACCGTGCCGTGCGGCCCAAATGCAGGTTCTTTCTGCATATCCTTTCACGAATTTCCATGTAATTGCCTTCTCTTTTTTTTTTGAGCGACCATTCGATATGTGGAAGAACTGCTGGCTTTCCTTTTCTGTCGGCTTGGTGCTGATGTTTTCAACTAGTACTAATTTGGTTATTTGGTATGGCATTTTGGAGTTCTGGATTGCAAGAAGCCCCTCCTTTCTCTTTGCTTCCTCTGTGAAGTTAACTTCTGACCTGTTCATCAATTGTGGCTCAATTTCCTTGGGTAGGACATGGATTAAGCTTCTCTGTGCGCACCATTGGAGTGTCCATCAGTTTGCATCCACGGCATTTGGGTGCAAATGAGAAGCTTGTCCTCTCCGTTTGATTTGTTTCATGCCGTGGCATAGCTCTGGCAGCTTGAAATGAGGAAACTTTAGCTGTTCTGCCATTTTTGTTCAGATTTTCTTAGCTTTTTCTCGCATTCTGTTGTGTTGTTTGGTCAACGTCCAGGTCTCCATTATTACGAAAACGGAATAGATCGTGAATCTTAGCTGCAGACGTGCCAATTCCATTTATGCCAGTGCCTTACACTTGTTTCTCGATCAACATTGAAGTTGTCCTTTATGAAAAATTTCTGTTGTGCATTTTGCAGTGCAAACTGAGGGTGGCAACCATTACCAAAAGGAGATCCTTGTTGCAGTCATCTTGGCACTTGCCGCAGTCATTGTAACGGTGGTATCAGCAATTTATGCATGGACCTTCTGGAAAAAAACTCGTCAAGCTCTGGATTCCAAGGACAAGAAACTCTCAAGTGAGGTTTTCGAAGGCAGATTCCATAAATTATTGCTTAATTTACGTTGATATTGGTTTTAGTGGTGGTGTCCTGATTGGTGCTTTAAATGAAATTGCTGTAGGTACTACCAAGGGGCACATGCTGTTACCCATGTTTGGGAAACTGAATTCAATGAAAACGTCCAAGAAAGAAGTGGTTGCAATGATGGACTTTTCAGTCTTAGACTCTGCTACGGGCAAGTTCAGTGAGAATAACATATTGGGAAAAGGAGGTTTTGGTTGTGTATATAGAGCATGTCTTGATAGAGGGGTTGTTGCAGCTGTTAAGAAACTTAATTGTTGTAGACAAGAAGTAGAGAAAGAATTTGAGGTGACTGCAAAATACATAGCCATTTTGTTTTGTAAGGTTGACATTAATTGTGAATTGTCGGTTGATTGTGTCCACCTGTGGTTCATAGAATGAGCTGGAGTTTCTTGGAAAAATTCGGCATCCCAACGTGATCTCCGTGCTAGGATATTGCATTCATGAAGACACAAGGCTGCTTGTATATGAGCTGATGCAAAATGGTTCTCTAGAAACACAATTACATGGTATGAATTCTAGTTTATCTTTAATGATGAATTTACATTTGTAGTAAGATTTATGGCATTGAAGAAAAATCTTTGTTTCTAACTTCTGTAGGACCTTCAAATGGATCAGCTTTAAGTTGGTACATTCGGTTGAAAATTGCTCTTGATGCAGCAAGGTTTGAATTTTACAACTCTTAATTTTCTGCATTAATCTGATTTACATATAGGATAAAAAGTACTACTAAATTACTAATCCAAGTCTTCTTGTGATTTTGCCATCACAGAGGATTGGAACACCTTCATGAGCACTGCAATCCATTGATTATTCACAGAGATATAAAGTCGTCCAATATACTTCTTGATTCAGACTTCAATGCAAAGGTTAAATCTCGATATGTCCTAACTTTTGATTTCATATATTAGTTTGATGTTGAGAGCTTCTAATATGACTTTTCATGTTACCACTGCCATTGCTCTATTTCTACAGATATCAGATTTTGGCCTTGCAATTTATGGTGGGAACCACAACAAAGCTGATTTAAAGCCTTCTGGAACTGTCGGTTATGTTGCACCAGAGTATCTTCTAGATGGTACATGCATTTGCTTTAGTATGTTAAGTTGCTAGTATGAAAGCTCTGAAGTCTGTTATTTTAATAGCGTTAATCATACAACTCTAGGTCAATTAACTGAGAAGAGTGATGTGTATGCTTTTGGGGTGGTTCTTCTCGAACTGTTACTTGGAAGGAAACCAGTAGAGAAGATTGGAGATTCTCACTGTCAATCCATTGTGTCATGGGTATGTTTTGCGATTTCCGTGCTTTGTGGTTTATGCATCTAATAGTTCTGAAAAATGTGTGATGCCTGAGGTTTTAGCAGACTGTTATTGTGTTTCCTTATAGCAATTGATAATTGAATATGTCTTTGGATGAACTAATTTCATGGATATATCGTTGATGCAGTGAAATCTTAATTAGTTGAGTGCATTGATGTGCCTCACACTTGAGATACTTTTTACATTTTCTTCACAAATATTCAGTATTTAAATTATTTTCTTGCAGCAAATGTGTTGATAAATAAAACCTGACGTAAGTATTATATTTCAAGCTTCACATTGCACTGAATTAAGAATATTTGCAGCTCCCCATAGAATGAGTTAATAATGCCCATGACAGTATGTCAATTTAGAGCTTTGATACATCTCCTTAGTATTCAGTTTGTACTAGCAAATTTGCACTCATCTATTTCTGCCCAATTGGCCGTTTACCCGTGGTAAAAATTCTATTAGGGCTGGGCATATTCCACACTTCTGGTTCATGGTTATGGTAACCAAAACTTGTCCCAGTAGGCAAACAGACACTGACCTTGTCCGTTCACCCATCTACACTACTGACACGCGGATATTCCAAAAGCCATTTACTGTACCTATAGCATGATGTATTGATGTTGCATTGGCTACCGAATTCTGACTTTTCAACCTTAAATTTAAACTACGCACAAAGACTTATTATCTATACGCATCTTTTATGCTCTTTTTTTTGGTTACCTAAGTGTTTAAATTTCTACCTTTCCAGAACGACATAGTCCTCCATTTCATATATCTGGTTGATTATTATCTCTTTTACTTTAGTTCATAGTTGCATGACAAACTAATTCCATTAGCCTTTTCTCCGTTGTAAAGTGGAATAGTCAGTAAACCACAAAGTTATCTTCTGCAGGCCATACCTCAGATAAGTGATAGAACGAAGCTACCAAATATAATTGATCCGGTTATCAGAAACACCATGGATTTGAGGCATCTATATCAGGTAAGTTACATCATCAAAATTTGTTTCCCAATTTCACAATGGAATACTTCTCTGAATACTTTGTTGCATGTGTAGGTTGCTGCAGTAGCTGTCCTTTGTGTCCAGCCAGAGCCGAGCTATAGACCGCTAATCACAGATGTTCTACATTCTCTTGTTCCTCTTGTTCCTGTAGAGCTTGGGGGGACACTGAGGGTAGTAGAGCAACCCCGTCAAACGGGCTAACGAAATGGGCCCTTTTCTGAACAAGTATGATATATTCGATGGCCTGATGAAAATATTTCGCGCTACGCGTTTCCAAAGATTGTGGAAGTTTTCCCATCAAACAGGTTGGGTGCTTGAGTAGGATGACAACGATGGCTGAACTATCCTGGAGGGAAATTTTCATCTAATTGCCATTTTTGAAGACCAAAACGCTTGCCTACGAAGAGATGACAAGCTACTGCCGACATTTGTAGGGCATTCTTTAAGGGTACATCAATCTAACATTGATTTCAGAGGTAGTTTTGATTTGTTGGTGCTCTTTAACTCCTGTGTGACCATCCTGTTAGATTGTGGGGCCTAGTTCGGCGATTTCGTGTAAATTTCATCGCCGGTAGATTTGATGTAAATTCGAGTGGGTAGGCATTCATGATCATTTGTTACAGAAAACCACTTAATAGACAAAATTTATTCAGAATATTGTAGTGTTGTTGCGAGCAGTTTAATGTTTGATCTGATGATTTATGAGACATCTTTTTTCAGCGATTTGGCAATCTTGAGTAAACAATGTGCTATATAGAAATGTCACTGGATTTGTCATTTTCTGGCAAAATTCAGTTGGTTGCTCTTCGGCATCAGGCGTGATTGAATATGCGACCCCATGGGCCATGGATGTTGTGAGTTGTGACTGTGCAAGGGTCACCCGACTTGGAAATATACGTGAACAAAATATTAGTAATGATATTTTTTCAATACGCTGAATTCGTAATGACATGGATCAAATTAACAAAAAAAAAAAACTCACCAGCTTTCGTCCGCCAATGATCTAAAAGGAACACTACTAGCAGAATGAGTAAGTTACCCTAAATCACGCAATTGGTAATGCCAAAATCTTGACAAGTTTCAACCTGTCAATAATAATTTGGCAATGTATATGTGTAATCAGCAAGTTTTGATAGCAAACCAAATCTTGCCAACAATTTGGCAGAAAAAATCTGGCTTCAAATAAAAACAGCCCTATATATAGGTCTTGCCGGCGTGGTGTTAATTACAAATAAGTTATTCGGATGACCTCCAACGCCGTAGCGATCCGATAGAGTTGTACACAGATGGGAGTTGTAGGATTATCCGGGCTAGATAATCCACAGAAGAGCAGAAAAAGAGAACTTTGGAGATACTCGGGCGAGACGTGGCCAACATGCGAAAGATCAGGATGACAGGATCGATCTCGACATACGGGCCTGTTTGTTACAGCTCCAACTCCTAAATTTAGCTCCATGAGTTGAGTCTGGAGTGAAGTTGTGGGGCTGCCTAAACCTAGCTACACAACTCTAGTTCATTTTGTGAGAGAGCTCCACCCAACTTCACTCCTAGTTTTGATGGAGCTAAAACTGTTTGGCTGAGCTCCAGCTCTGGGAGGGGTGGAGCTGGAGCTGTGCCAAACAGGCCCGTAATGCAAGCGATCTAAATTCAGAAGATATCTGGATTGAAGTAAGTCTCTCCTTGTCAGGTCTGTTGCTTGCGTTCGTGTAGCATCTGATCCAACAGCTGCTAAATCATTATTTGGGCGTGAATTTTCTTCTCATCTTTAATTGCCATTGTAAAAACTATTTCTCTTCTTCTTTTCCTTCGTGAGGACAAAAAAAATTCTAGTATATGTGGGTGAGTTGTATGTCCCATATTGATTATTGTTTCATCACTAATAGGTTAAATTGTTCAACAGTGATCTGATTACTTATAGTTTTCTTGATAATCTGTGTACTTGTTAATAACAAATAACAAATTGTAGGAATCCATGTAAGGACTAACGGGCACGATTAGTACATTGGTCATGTTAATCTTGTACATTACAAAATCAATTGACACCCAAATTTTACATCTCACATAGCGTTAAGCAATGTTGCCTTAATGTGTCCTTCAAACACTAAGGGTATATTTGAGAAGAAGGGGATTGAGGAGATACGTAAAACGAGATAAGCCATTAGCTCATGATTAATTGAGTATTAATTATTTTAAATTTTAAAAATGGATTAATATGATTTTTGAAAGCAACTTTACTATAGAAAATTTTTACAAAAAACGCACCGTTTAGTAGTTTGGGAAGCGTGCGTGCGGAAACAAGGTGCTTTCTCCCTCAATGTCCTCCAAACGAACGCTGCCAAGTAACATTGCAAACACACCAATTTCTTAGGTGAACAAATAGGTCTAACAAAAAGAGGACTCCAAGGTACCTATCTGTTGTTGTGTTAATTATTCATGTGTTCTTGCTATTCTATGAGTGGTCTCGTGTATATGATTGCAATATTGTTAATTGTTTCATTGGCAATTTAACAAACTAACTTGCCGCATCATCAGCCAATTAATCCCCTAACCATCCCCTTTTTCTCTTTTTTTGAATTTTTTTTGGGCTAGCTCGTTGATTGACACGTCTCCTGAGCATTTTCCAGGCTCCTCGCGCCCGCTTTTGTGACCGGCTTTAGCCGTTCTCCCGGTGAAATATACTGTTCGCTGCTTTTGTGTGCTCGTTTGTAGCTAGTTGCTGTGTGTTCTTGCTTCCGGTTTATGGAGTTGGCATTTTTTAAAAAACTCCTCGTTTGCACGGAATATTATATACGTCCTCGGACTACCTAACATCCCGTTGTATTTCTTACATACAACCCCTCGTCTTCCAGAAAAATACAATGCGAAGAAAAGAAAATTCCGCTTCTAGAGTAGCGCTGTAAACATGAAAAACATAGGGGATTTTCTGTAAAACGTCCTACACTAACCCCCCCAATCCTGAAACCCTAACCCCATTCTCTCCCCCTCCTCTCCCAGCTCTCCTCTCTCGGTGCAGATTCCGGCCAAAGGGCGGTGGCCGCGCGAAGGGTGGAGCCAGTCCTCCTCCCAGATCTAGTGGAGGCGGAAGTGTAGGGCGGAGGCGGCGCGGAGGGTGGATGCAGCGGCGGCTCCGCCGGGAGTGGGGAGGGCGCTGGCAGCGGCGGCGGCCCTCCCCTCTGGATCTGGCGCGGAGTCGGGTGGTGGCTGCGGCGGCTACCGGCGGCGGCTCCGCCGGGAGGGGGGAGGGCGGTGGTGGCGGTGGCCCTCCCCTCCCGATTTGGCGCGGCGTCGGGCTGCGGCGGTGGCGTCTACCGACGATGGCAGCGGTGACTTCAGGCAGTACGGTTGTTTTGCGGCGACGGCGATTGAGCTCAAGTTCGTGTTGAATTAGTGGGATGTGGTCCAATGCTGGTGAGTGCCCCGTGGTTCCCAACGTCGTCGGCTCGTTCTCCTCCACCTCACAAGCGGCAAGGCCGCTGGAAAGGGCCAGATCGGGCGAATGCCGACCGAGGTATCATTGGGTCAAAGAATCGGGGCAAGGGAAGCGCCGGGGTTTAGGAGGAGGGCACAGGGGGCGACGTGGCCCAAGAGATCAAAGGAGCAGATGGCTCGGTGGTGGTTGATCCCAAGGGAGGACGATGAAGTCGGAAGCGGCGGTGTTGACGGCCAGACGGTGGGCGAGCCCGCAGTGGCTACATCAGAGCCTATGAGGAAAAGGAGGCTGGAGCTCGGAGAGGAAGCCACCAAGGATGGATGGGTTGACTCATATCCAGGCAGGTTTCATGCTCCTCACTTTTCATACTCCTGCCTGATTTGCCTGATTTGTGGATGATGATGGAGAAGAAGCGGCTACTCTTGTTTTCTGCCTCGCTACCGTAGCATGTGTTGGCAGGAAGAGGGTAAGGAGGAAGTGGCGGCGAGCCGGGGTCGGGTGCGAAAATCAGAGTGATGGCAAGGCCGCGTCGCCTCATGCAGCCTTAGATGCCTGGCCACACGGGCCCGTCAGCAATCCCCAACCCGCCGCTCCATGTTCCCCACCAAGTGTCACACCTCTCGGTGTGCCACCGATGGTGACTGAAGAAGCGAAGGATACAGGGGAGGTAGGTTCTCAATAGACGCTTTCCATGGGAGACTACGTATTTATGTAATGACTGTGTTGTCCCGTGTCTGGCTTGTAGACCTGGAGGATGGGTGCGTGGGGTTTAAATTATACTGTACTGGTACTATCGTCTCTTGTCGAATAAGAAAGAAAATAAAGAACTCTCTCCAAATTACACTCGTGTTCACACTTGTCCGGCGGCTCATGGCGAGAAATCCTCATCGCCGGTGAGCGGGGCATTACATATGGTATCAGAGCTCGGCGATCCGTGTGCGCGCTTCCTCGTACTCTCTCGATCCGGCGGTAATATTCCATAGTTCAGTTGGTGATACCCGAAAGGATTCGTCGCTGTAAATCTGTCCGAGGGTTCGTTGGATTCGGAGGAGGAACACCACAGCACCCGCTAAGTAAGGAGTACAAGTGAGGCAAGTGGTGGCGGCGATGGGTGAGATGGAAGAGAGGTTGTTGGCTGTGGTGGAAAAACTGGCGGAGAAGGTGGAGAAGGTGGAGCTGATTCAAGAGAAGCTGGAGGCGATGGACATGAAGTTGGAGAAGCAAGGAGAGAGACTTGATCAAGTGCAGGCCAAGGTAGACCTGTCGGTAGAATCACTGGGGCAAGTTCATCAAGAATAGATCCATGTTACGCAAACTGTGAGGCGAACCGCGCCAACAACGCTGGTGATTCCAACCAGGACAATGGAGGCAACCTCTTCTATGACAAGAGAACAACCTCAGGTAACCTTTCCAACATCTACACCCACACCACCACCTAGGGTTGAGACGGGAGAAGCACATGCATCTCACTTGGGGGAGGGAAATAGGGGAGTAGCTCATGAGAACCATTTCAGAAGAAATATGCCAAAGATGGATTTCCTGAAGTTTGATGGGACAGATGCTAGTGTGTGGGTGGACAACTGTGAAACGTATTTTGCTATGTTTAGTTCACGCCAAAATTGGAAGTTTGATTGAAATTGGAACGATGTGACGGAAAAGTTAGAAGTTTGTGTGTAGGAAAGTTTTGATGTGATGAAAAAGTTGGAAGTTTGAAGAAAAAATTGGGAACTAAACTAGGCCTATGTACCAGATTCCAGCAGGTTTTAAGGTGTCAGTTGCATCACTGAACATGTTGGGGAAGGCATCATGTTTGGGACGAATTCACAGATGCTGTTGTGAATGAGTTTGACAGTGGAACCCATCACATTAAAGCTAATGCAATGTTTGAATTGAAACAAACGGGTTCTGTGGATGAGTATAAGAGTCAATTTGATGATTTAATGTACAACATCAAACTGTATGATAATACTGAACTTGGAACTGTGTGGGAAGTGGGGCACTTTGTAGCTGGACTGAAGGATGCTCTAAAGACTCATGTCCTGTCTAAATTGCCCGAAACTATCAGTCAAGCTTACCATCTTGCCAAGGCAAAAGAAAGGGTGATGGGAGAAGTAATGCAGGGAAAGAAGAAATGGGGCATGAAAATTGGAAGGAGTAAAGGGGGAGATAAGTCAAAAATTTCTACTGGAGACTTGTGGAAGGCACAACAGTTAAAGGAATATCGCAGGATTCATGGGCTCTGTTTTAGGTGTGGTGAAAAGTACAGTCCAAATCACCAGTGTGCTCAAATTCCTGCTGCTCAAGTGAATGTGGTAGAAACTATTGATCATACAGATGTATTGTCTGATGATATACTTGAAGCTGTTATGGAAGTGGAAGATTTAGGGCAGAATCCAGATATGTTTTTGTCCCTAAATGCAGTAGCAGGATGGGGAAATACAGGTACTATTCACTTAAGAGCTATGGTACACAACCAGGTGTTACTGATACCTGTATAAGGGGCATCAAATTCAGTTACATGGAGTTAAACCTGCCACTGCTCCAACACTACCTCTACAGGCTATCTCTGGGGACCAATTACTTAAATGGCATTCTGGCAATGAAATCTGGGCAGTAGCTGTGGTACAACCTGAGGATAAAAAGCCTAGTCACTCTGAGAGAAGTGGAAATTGTCCGACAAATTGAATGTTTAACAAACGTGAGACACCGGGAAAGAGTTTCAGCATCAGGTTCTCTGTTGACTAGCTTGTCAAAAAAAAGAAAAAAGAAAGAAACTTCACATTATTTTCCGGATGGTCAGACGTTCCAGAATGGGAATAATAATGTTGGCTAAGTTTATTGAGTAAAAAAAAGGTTAAAGACATGTTAGTCAAATATCTTATCTTGAATGTTCACCCAACGTACACATGTTTGAACAAATATACAGTTTGGACCAACTAAAGGCCTATACATATTTATTATAAACCTTCAAAGCAACAAAAAAATCTTTGTAAAAACCTGTGTCAGGCGTGCATACTAAATTTCTCAGTAATCTTAAGTAGAAAAGAAAATTTAATCTCCATAAAAACTCATGCATGGTGTAGTGTATGTATTTGCAGAGAAAACAAAATCAATGTTGTTGATTCCTTCGTACAGTCCAAGAACAACCATTGTGAAAAATAGCTTACGAAATATTGGGTTACGCCCCCTCGCGTGGCGGCTCGGGGGCAAAACCCTAGCCGCCACCGCCCCTCCTCTTCCCTCCCCCGTGCTTCGCTGCCGCTGGAACTCGTCGCCGGCAAAGCCGGGCGACGCGCTGGGATGGCGGCGGCAGGGCCATCCTCATCGGCTCCATCTCGCCCCGGCGCGGGCGTGGCGACGATGGCGGCGGGACGGCGAGGTCGCGGCTACGGCGAGGTCGTGGCGACGGGGACGGCGCGGCCACAGTGCGGTGGTGGGGCTCTCCACGGTGACGACGGCGCGGCGGTGGGGCTCTCCGCGGCTCCGGCGATGGGCGACGGCGTCGCCAGATCCGGTCGCCCCGCTTCCTAATCTGGCCAGGGTGTCCGCGACGGGCTTGGTCGACGCCGGCGCCGCTCAGGCGTAGGCGGGTGGCCGGTGACGGGCTTCTCCGGCACGGGCTCGTCGGCGACGACGGCATCGGGTCGGCGGCGGCTCGCGTCCGGTCGGCGGCGGCTCCAGTCCGGCTCTACGGCGCCGACTGCCGCGGACCTGGCCGAGGGCAGCCGACCTGCTGCGGTTTTGTCGGCGTCGGGGATGACGCCTCCATCTCCCTCCCTCCTGTTCCTCCAGATCCGGTTCTCCTCTTCTTCAGTTGTTCTTCTTCCGGTGCTCACCGGCGGTGCGGCGCCCGCTCTGCTCCTCCCTTCTTAGGCTAGGCTACTTCCAGTCGATGCTGGGGAGCTCCTTGGTGCGGTAGGGGTGGCATGCGGAGTTGGTTTCCAGCGTCCTGCCTCGCTGGTCGTCGGCCGCGCCGTAGGTTTGCTGTAGCTGGGTTCCTGTGTGTGAGGTGGTCTCTGGTGGAACTGCAATGTGATTGACTGTTGAGATTGACTGTTGAGGCAGAGTCGGAGCTGTTTGTCTTGCAAGCTCGGCAACGATGACCATCAACAGACGTCCAGGCAATGCGACGAGGGTTTGGAGGTGGAGCATTTTGAGAGTCTCGGGTGATGATATTGACGCCTGTGGGTGTCGTTTCCTCCTTGAAGGCATCGTCATGATGGCTCTCTCTCCCTTCAAGTGAAAACCGGGTTCCTTTTAGAACAGACGTTGACAGCATTCTTGATGTATGTTCCCTTGTTGAAGGCTTTGCTCAAAAGGTTTCTACTCCATTAGACGATGTTTGGTGGTTCTGGAGACCTCGTGCATTATGTTGTCGAAGCTGCTTGCCTTTGGCAAGCTCGGCAACGATGACTTTTGTGAGGTCTTAATAGTTGCTTCCTTTTCCTTTTTTTATAGGTTTTTGCCGGTTTCCCGTTTACTTGTTCAGTTTTTGGGCCCGGTTTCCCTTATTAACTGGGCCATTTCTCTTCTTCTATAAATTCCGGCAGAAGAAACTTCTGCCGTCGGTTCCTCGAAAAAAAATATCGGGTTAGATGATTAAGGATTGTTTTCCATCATAAAAAGAAAGCTCTTTTCCGCAGCCATTGTTTTTCCAGGCTTTGCTATTCATTTGTATATCAATTTTCCTAAATTTTAGGTAACAAATGAAAGCCCTCAGATCCTACAGTTCAACCTTATGCGGTTCTTCCTCCAGTGAAGTGACCGGATTGGGAAACTAGGAGCGATGTGGGTGGAAGGGTGGGATGGGCTGGTTCCCGGTGATGCCCTCAAATATAATGTGATGTGGAAAATAGCTTAAGTATTGGGTTCTTTGATTCACTCTCGTATAATGGGTAGCAGGGCATGACTGCCGATGATCATGAGTGAGGGGTTTATAGCTGTGCACAAATTGAAAGCATTCCTACCAGTTAAGAAATGACCGATAGATAGGGAGAAAAATACAGAACTGATAAATAGACAGCCCAAATCATTGACAGTGCAAATATATTGCAATAACTAGAGATATAACCCATTATACGAGTTGTATGTACACCATCTAAATGGATCCGGTTCCTCTGATGTTGTGAAGTAACTGTCAGAGGAGCATGGTAGCGCACAGTGTTGGGTTCTATGCCGACTCACTGTAGCACACAAAAGTTAGTGTTTTCACTGTAGCATAGCACTGTAAGGAGAATCTAGAACCATCCATCTCATATCAGATGAGATGACTGATATGTGCCCAAAAATCACAGCACTATGCTTCTCTAACTTAGCTTTACCATGGGAAGTTTAGAGGATCCTCTTCCATCTAAATATATCAGTCATCTGTTCATGCCTTGGGGAGTATGAAACAAGACTTAGGTGTTGCAACCATCAAAATTAACACCTTACCAAAAGTTGAGTCAAAAGAATCAGTCATTTGAAGCCTTGTTGGTTCATGCTCTGGTCCAAAGAAACACCTTGCCGCTGGAGCTTGAACAAGCAAGGTGACCAACTTTACATGGGTGCGCAGAAAATCGGTATGGGATGGAAACCATGTGTTCGCTCTTGAGACATGCGTTGTTCGTAGTTGAGATGCTACTGTCATTCAGGTCAACTGAGATAACATCTATTGCACGTGTCGCATTTCCAATAAACAAGTCCATGTCATTCCAGCCCCAGATTGCCCTGCAACATTTAGTTTAATGCGTGAAGTCAGAAAGATTAATTAGATATGGATTAAGGATAACAATGAGGAAAGAGCCATTATTATACTTGAATGTAGAAAGATGTGTGCCGATATTGTTATTTCGCTCCACTGTATGAAAGTTTTCGAAGTTATCCACACTAAAAACTCGGACAATACCATCTAAGCTGCATACAATAAGAATAAGGTCAGTCCTGGGCACATATAATCTCAGTCAAAGCCTCATCCATCTCATCCTAAAAAAATTGTCATCCATTTGCCATTCTTGCACCATTTTGATTCCTTACCCAACTTCAAGGACTTGGTATATAATATATATGCACTGATGAGGTAATAATGCTGCTACTAATTCTAATTGAATAAATTTGTTTCACTTAACAATTGAGTTTATCTATATTATTTGTAAATATAAATAGATAACAGGTGGCATTCACAATAATACCGTAACCCACTCTCTACATACAGCTCCTTGTATATTTACAAAGCAGAACTACAACTGATACAAACTATGAAAGCAATATATAGCATTGCAAGATTACGTCACATGATAGTAATCTAATATTGGATCTGGCTGTGATATAATGATATTAGAGACATGTCTCATTATTCAAAATGTCAAGAGAGATCCGTTCTATCAAAAACAGAGAAGATGTAAATTACAGGGAGCTGCTGAAGAAGTGTAGGAATAGCCTAGGTAAATGATCACCTTGTAGTTGCAACCATATGTCCGCTTGGTGAAAAATAAGCTGACTGAAGACCTCTGTCATGTTCAAGAACCACCAAGCTCTCCGCTCCCTTCTTTTTCATGGTTCTCAAATCCCACATACAAGCAGTTCCATCTCTTGAACTTGTGGCCAACATATATGTGTTCTCTGGATGAAAATCTATTGAGTTGATTCTGCTAGCATGTGCATTCCATGAGGTTGACACCTTACCAATCCTATCATCAAAAAGTTTCACATCTGTTTCTTCACCAAAATATAGACAGCTGGGGCTATTTGGCGCTTGACAAAGTGACAAAATAGGAAATTCGGACAGCCGGGTAATATTAAAGTTCTCTCTCTCAAGGTCCATAAGACATATTTCACCTCCGTGACTACAGCTGTAAATCTGCAAAATATATCATGGAAATCAATTTAAATAACAGTCGAGATTTGAAAGTGGATATATTCAACAAGATAAAATTTACCACAAAGAAAACTATTTTGTGCTGCAAAGCCTCCAAGCACAGAGCTATCTAAAGATATTTTGACCATAAAGACAAGGTTATCAACATTACAAAGACCACAGCGGTGGGATGACTCCCAACAGTGTTGCTCTCTTGGCAAATGATTAGTTAGCTAGGTACGACCAAGATATGAAGAAGACTCGCTGTTTAGTTCAATCGTAAGGGCCCATGATTGGAAGCCCAGTATTTGGCCCAACAACTGGTGGAAATTGAGGGCCCATGAGATATTTCCAATTTGGGCAAAGGCCATGGCCCATCTCACCAGACCCTAAATCCCAACATCTAATTCAGCCAACCAAACTACCGAAGGGAATCCAAGTTAATTTAATGTGTGATCATCAGGACTAGAAATTTTGATAATTTCCATTGATCAATTGATCTTTGTTTCTACAAATACCATCAAGTAAAACTAAAATTCTACTCGCTCCGTCCCATAATATAAGGGATTTTAACTTTTTGCTTGTATTGTTTGACCACTCGTCTTATTCAAAAAATTTGTGCAATTATAAAAAATAAAAAGTTATGCTTAAAATACTTTGGATAATAAATTAAGTCACAAATAAAATAAATAATAGTTCTAAAATTTTTTAAATAAGACGAATGGTCAAACAGTGCAAACAAAAAGTCAAAATACTTTGTATTATAGGACGGAGGGAGTAGTAATGAGAAAAGGGTGCCAAATTTAACTTTTTTTTGAAGCGGCAAACATCAACTATCCCCATAAATAATAACTAAGTATTTGCAGGTTGTATATGAAGCATCGGCACAGTTTACTCTCTAGCAAATACTTATTCGTTCAGTCACCCAATCGAATACTATTTCAGCTACACCAAATTATATATGAAATGCTCAATTACTCTGAGAACATAGGCAGTGCACGAGCAGAGGAACAGGAAAAACATCACCTTGTGCGGCTTGGCTGCGTGTGCAACGATTGCTCCCACAGAGCTCAGGTGAGGCATATACTCGAACACCCTGTGTGCGTCGTCACCATCGTCATCGACGACCCAGAACCCAACATGCCCGACATTGCTCCCCGCCGCCACCACGGTCCGGTCCACCAGCGGCAGGATCCGCAACGACGGTATCCTGTCCGCCGACACGAGCCTCCTCACGTTGGAGGGCCTCAGCACCAGCTCCGTCCTGGCGTCGAAGCCGTCGTCGCGGACCTTGGCCTCGGACGCGGGGGGAGAGGTGGCGTCGAGGATGGCGGAGGCGAGGGACGGGGTGATCCGGGTGCTGCGGCGAGGTGGCGCTGGCGCTGGCCCGGAGGCGGGAGGTGGAGGAAGGCCCTGCGTGCGGAGGGAGCGGCGCACGACGGCGGGCGCGGCGCGGGGGCGCGCGCGGGGCTGCTGCTTCTTGGTGGGGGGGCGCGAGAGCTGGATGATGGCGGAGAGCTCGGCGGCCTTGCGGCGGAGGGAGTCGAGGATGACGCCGTTGCGCCGGATGTTCTCCGCACGGCGGCGCTCGTAGTCGGTGAGGCCGCCGGCGTCCGGCTCCGGCTCCGGCGGCGACGCCATTGTCGCGGCGGCAATGGGCGGTGGTGGGCTCACGCTGGTTGGGGGAAGGAGGCGGTGGTGGGCCCGGCTGTTGCAGGCAACTTCTGCTGCTACTGGAGCTCCTGGAGCGGAAGCATTGAAGAAGGCACACGACGAGTAGTTGGGGACTATGGAGGCACGAGGACCAAAGCGCGCCAGAAGATTAAAAAGCGCCCCTTTGAAATGAGGGGAATTTAACAAGCGCATCCCCTGGAGCTCATCTGAATTTTATTCTCTATATTCTCATATTCTTATATGGATGGGTCTCTAAAAAGATTTCTCTTTTATTTTTCTTTTTACTCCAACAGATTATCCATATTACATACTCCATATCACATCTTTCTATATTTTAATAATATCTTTCAACTAACTATATATTTTGTATTATTGTTTATAATAGCTATATTTGTATATTATGCCAAAAAAAACTAAATTTATTGTATTCTAGATCTACCAAATATTACCTCCGTCCTAAAATATAAGCATTTGAATACTTATATTTTAGGACGGATGGAGTACTAATTAGGAGAATAGTATTCTAATAATCTCTATCACTACCCCTACCGACAGCAAGACATGACAGAGCCAAGAGAAGAGGGAAAAAGATGGGGAAGAGTGGAGGAGGAGGGCCGAAGGTGGAGCGGCGGGGGCGCGGGCGAAGTGGCAGGCGGTGGGGACGGCCGGGACGACGGAGCGGTGCGGGCAAAGCTGTAGGATGCGGGGACGGCCGCGATAGCGAAGCGACGCGTGGGAAGCTGCGGGCGGCGGCGATGGCTGGGACGGCAGAGCGGCGCGGGCGAAGCTGCGGGGGTGGCGGGGACGACTAGGACGACGGAGCGGCGCGGGCGAAGCTGCGGGCGGCGGCGATGGCTAGGACGTCGGAGCAGCGGGGTGAAGCTGCGGGCGGTGGCGATGGCTGAGACGGTGGAGCGGCGGGGCGAAGCTACGGGTGGCGCGGGCGAAGCTGTGGGCGGCGGTGACAGCGGGTGCGGGCCTCTCCGCTAAATCCGCTGCCTCTCCACCTACTCCGGCGATCTCCACCGAGTTCCGGTACACACCTCCTCTCTTTCGTCAATCCCCCACAGTATGTAGTCTTGATGATGGCGCGAGTTGGATTGGGACATGGGCAGTTGGAGGATGGCATGAGAAGAGAGAACCGCCATATTTGCCTTGTGAAGGGTTTGGTTTGGAGGACCTCCAAAAATGGCATGTGTGATGGAGCCTCTGCTGGAGCGTTGTTTTTCTCCTCCATGCGCCAAAAAGGGGATGGAGGACCGAATAGAGGAGCTGTTGGGGATGCTCTTAGGTCTTGTTTAGGGCCTGTTTAGTTCGTGAAAAGAAAATTTTTGGGTGTCACATCGGATGTTGGCCGGATGTCAGAAGAGATTTTTGGACACAAATGCAAATACTAATTTCATAACTTGCCTGGAAACCACGAGACAAATCTTTTGAGCCTAATTAATTCGTCATTAGCACATGTGGTTCACTGTAGCACTTATTGCTAATCATGGACTAATTAGACTTAAAAGATTCGTCTCGTGATTTTCCCTCTAACTGTGCAATTAGTTTTTTGTAATCCATATTTAATGCTCTATGCATGTATCTAAAGATTCGATGTGATGTTTTTGGGAAAAAAATTTCGGGGAACTAAACAAGGCCTTAGTTTGTGAAAAGAAAATTTTTGAGTATCACATCGGATGTTTGACCGAATATCGGAAAGGGTTTTCGAACACAAATGAAAAAACTAATTTCATAAATTGCCACCGCGAGACGAATTTATTAATTCTAATTAATCCGTCATTAACACATGTGGATTAACACATGTGGGTTACTGTAGCACTTATGGCTAATTATGGACTAGTTAGGCTCAAAAGATTCGTCTATAGAAACTGTGCAATTAGTTTTTCATTTTATCTATATTTAATTTTTCATACATGTCTAAGAGGCATCACTTTAGAAGGGAAAATAAGAATGCCACTACATGGCTAGTGGTCTCGTGATAGCATAAACCAACGACCCAATTGTTTTCATAACCAGTACCATGTTCAACCGAGTGCACTGTTTCAAAAATAGACATGTCTAATTAGCACTCATCCCTTTCCCACGGGGGGAGTATGCAAGCATGTAACAATAAGGAAAGATAATCCTAATTGCTAAACTTCAAATAAACTTTTGTTTCAATTACATATCCAATCTACAATCCGATTATACCATTGTACTCATCGTAATTAAATCTTTATAACAAGATATTAAATAATTATATTATGATGAAAAATATATATATGTTGTAAATTACTTTCATTATATATGTAAATTACATTTATCATATATATAAATTACTTTTAGATTTGCCTAAATTATTTTTCAGACATTCAGTGAATAGTTTATACTTTATTGGTTTGTTATATAATATGTTGATTAAATTTTTCTAGATAGACTTATTTTTGACCCCCATAATAGATTTACTTTAATTGCTGTGACAAGTTACTTTCTTTTTTTTAAAGTTACTTACTTCTATATAGATTAAATTGCTTTTAGACTTTATTAAATTTGCTTTTATATATCTCAGAATTAATTTAATGAAATCTAAAAGTAATTTATATTTTTTCATAAATATATATCATGTGCTATCTTGTTATAAATATTTAATTATTACGAATACAACGGTGTAATCAGATCGTAGATCGGATAAATAATTCAAGAAAAAAATTTTATTTGAAGCATGAGTTGTAGGAATATGTTTTGTACTTACTTGAAGGATTAAGTGATTCTTCTTTCGTGAACGCAATTCTTCCCGTATGTGATGTCCCGTTGCTCGTTAGTACTAAAACGAGATGCCTCTCGATTTAGATTTTACGCTTATTCCTTAGGTGTAAAACATTGATGGTATTACGGTTAATACAGAAAGTACAAGCTCATATATACAGGAGCATGCAGCTAGATAATACATCCCGACTAAAACAGCTTCAACAGGAGTCAGGACTCAGGACTCTGGAGTAAAACACAACTGTAATTATAACAGGATTTCACAATATCAACTGAAATTAGGAAAATCATTTTACACATGCAATAACACCGGGAGATTTGTTTACTGATTGCAGCCCCCTCCACTGCTGGGGTAACGGGTAGCAGAGCGGAAGAGGCAACAAAGAAGAAACATTACTTTGTACACTTGGGCCGCCACTTATTCGACTGCCTTGAAAACACTTGGGCCTGCGTACAAAGGCCCACCCACAGCTGCTCGCCACCTTAAACCTAATTACTCGCTCCCTCCATTTCCTTCCGCCGCCGGCTGTCCCATGGCTACCGCCGCAAGCCTGCGGATGAAGGCCGTTATTTGATGATCTCAGGAATCATGATGACGCGGGCGAGGGCGCGGTCGCTGCGCCGGAGCCTTCCGCAGCCGCAGCCGCAGCCGCAGCCCCCTACAGGAGGAGCATCCAAATCCAAATCCATTGCCCACGAATCCGAAGAAATGATTATACGAACGCGCCGCCGGAAGGCAGAAGCGGTTCTTGTCCTCCACGATCCACAAGACTGGAGGGACTGGGCCAACTTACTTGCTGAAATGGTCGGGGAGATCGCCGGTCGGCTGCTCGCCGTCGACGTCGCCGAGTACATCCGCTTCCGCGCCGTGTGCGGGCCGTGGCGCGAGCGCACCGCCGACCCGCGCGTACGACGCCTGGACGCCCGCTTCCGCCCGCGCAACTGGGCGGTGCTCACCATCACCCCACCCCCACCACGGCGGCTGCCTCCTCGCCGCCGCCTCCTCAACCTCGCGACGGCGGCCTCCATCGGCGTCGTCCTCCCGGCGCTCTCCACCCACTGCCACCTCTGCGCCGCCGACGGCCTCCTCGTCCTCTTCAACAAGGCCACCAACCTCATCTCCCTCCTCGACCCTCTCACCAACACCATCACCGACTTCCCCGCCATCTTCCTCATGGCCGCCACCGCCACCGCCGCCGCCGCCGTGCCCTCCTCCCTATCCGCGATGTGCCGGGATCGCCGCTTCAACCTCCGAATCTTCAACGGCGCCGGGTTCGACGACACCACCTCCCCGCCCACCCTCGTGCTCTGCCTGAGGGACACGGTGAGGAGCATCATCGTCGCCAAGCCTGGCGATTCGCACTGGACGCTGGTAAACCCCGGCGAGGCGTCCTACCGGGAGTACGACTCCCAAGGCCAGCTCCTCTTCCACTCCGTGCTCTCCTGGCGCGGCCGCTGCTACGTCGCCTCGCCGGAGGGCTCCATGTACGTGCTGGAGCTACGGCCGCCGTTGCCTCGGTTGGTGGAAATCATCGACCAACGCCGCATGTGCCCACCAGATACGCATCACCTGAACCGTGTGCTCTCCTTCCTCGTCGGCAGCGGGACGGCGATGCTGATGGTGCGGTACTGGATTGACATCAAGCACTTCGGTGGCGCGGAAGCCTATGATCCAGCAGAGCTATTCACGACGGTGGGCGGTTTCACCGGCCGCCTGGAGGTGTTGGAGCTGGACGACATCGCTAAGCCCAAGAGCGAGAGGAGCCTCCTCCCCGTGCGGAGCCTTGGGCGACACGCGGCGTTCGTGGGCAACACGCACTGCCTGCTCATGTCCACCGAGACGTTCCCGTCTCTTGCTACCGATGCGATATACCTGGGCTACCGTCTTCAGCGTTACAGGACATCCAAGTTCAGCGTCTACACTATCGACGACAGGAGGATTGAACCGCCGCACCAGTTCTGCCTCGATGAAGAGTGGAGGCTCCATCCCTCTGCCAGGCCTTGCAACCTTGACCAGTACCTCGTCTGCTATGTTGACCGCTTGCATTCCTGGAGCGGTGATTGTATCAGTAGCAAATTGCCCCACCCCTAGTGCACAAGTTTGCATGTATCCTGGTGGCTATAACTTCTGTTTAATTTGCCATGTAATCCTGTGTGCAATCCACGTGAGACTGTCTCTACTAATTCTCTACTACTATCCTTCGTGTCCTTTAAAACATGCAGTTGTTTCAGCTGCCATGGCACCTATCATTTGCATGCAACTCAAATAGTTATAGAAAAAATTAAAAAAAAATTAGTAACATCTTTTGTAATAATACAAGTCTATACACAAACATACAGGACTAAATTTGACCTACATTTGTACTCGGCGCCGTCCCTGCCACGTGTCTCCACATACATATTCTATTGCAACAAATCACCCATATATTTTGGAAACTCTCTATTGAGGGAATTCGTTTAATTTTTTGTTCCATAAAAAATGTTTCACCTAGTGTACTTATAATGTTTCACTACGTATGGATCAAATGTTGCAATGAACTGAAACATTCTTTTATTATTTGCTGAAACATTGTTTTTATATAAGGTGAAACAATGTCCGATTTAAACGATTGAAACATTTTTGATCTATTTAGTGAAACAATTCCGATATATTTAGTAGAACAGTGTGCAACATTTAAAAATAATTCAATAATAAGCTTAAAAAAATTCCATCGAAATATATCCATGTGTGGTCTTGTTTTAAAGATTTAGTTACAATGAATTTAATCGTACAATCGGATCATGATTTGGATAAATAATTTAAGAAAAAAAATAGTTTAAAGTAGTTTTGCATGTATAACGTGGACATGACGTCAGCATGACGTGGGCATCCGATTTTCCCACCCCCAGATCGGATACCCGACATGTAGTTGCTTCCAATTTATTATGCAATCCAAAAGAATTAGAGCGATTATATATCTTGCAAACTTGCAGTGACATTCAAGCGCAATGTTTCGTTCACGGATGAATAGCATCGATTTTTTTTGTCTCTCGTGGTCCTCATCTTCCATCCCCGCTTCTAGTGTTTTCATATATACCATGAGTCTGGCCGTTCCTTCGAATGCCGTGAGTTGGCGGTGCGCCGCCCGTGCCCACCACGACCGGCGGCCGGCCGCCGCCCCCTACCGGCTGCTGCTCCGCCCGGCCATCCCCGATCCTACTGCCGCCGCCGCTTGTCTGCGGAGGAGATGGAAGAGTGACGTTGTTTCAACTGTGATGAACCTTACTCCCGCGGCCACAATCACACACTTGCCGATGCCTCTTCTTCCTCGATCCGGAGTACACCGACGCCGACGACGACTCTTCCACGACGACTCCAGAGGCAGCCAGCTCGCGAGTGCATGTCATATGCATGGTCCGCCTGGGCGACGTCGAGCTGTACACCCTCATCGACTCCGGCTCTACGTACTCACACCTACTCACCCGTGGGTCGCCCACTGCCCCCGCGTTGGCCTCAACGTCACGGTGGCCAACTGCCCCCGCATCTTCCCAGGCAATGAACTTCTGCGCGCATCGCAGAGGTGTTCACGACGGATTTCTACATCCTCATGTTTGGCGGCTAGAATGTCGAGGAGTGATCCTCTCTAGCGGGAGGACGTGAGACCCCCCCTTGTGAGTTCGGCCAGGGAATAAGACGAGATGATCAAGAGCGTATCTTTGCCTGGGATCTAGCTAACTAGATGGTTCGCAAACGAGTGAGAGACAAGGGATTATACAAGTTCGGGCCACTAGGAAGCGTAACACGCTACTCCTGTGTGTGGAATTAAGCTTGTGCTGTTACAAGGGAGCTCCAACCCTAGCCTCAAGCTTCTCAAGTCGCCTCCTTTCTTTCGGTGGGCAAGGTACTCCTTTTATAGTTTAAGGAGATACCACATGCACCGTTCTTACATATTTCATCATTGGAGGGGGGCCCACACAACCTGGGTCAAGCCACCGTCCATGCCTTCAACTGAAGCAAGACAGTTGTTCGCCCCCAGGTGGGTCCCAGCGCCGTCCTCCGCCTGACACGAGGGACATCCATGTCATTCCCTCTTAATTCCATGGGGATTTTTGTGGATTCATGCACGGGGGGCACGCTCGACTACGTGCCGATGAGACGGGGCATACCTGCCCCCACTCCGCCTAACACAGGGCGGGACGTGGGTGTGCTGCCACCCGTCCCATCCGCCTGCGACCGGTCATAGGCCGATTGACGCATGTCAATCGGGCAGTGCCGCACGCTTGCCCACGCCGCATTAAACGCGGCGAGGGACGGTTGGGGCGCCGCTCATTTAAAGCGCTTGGCAGCGCCCCTTCCTCTGCCCACTTGGCCGCCACGTGGCAGCCGAGCGAGGGCCTCGGGGCAGCGCGCTCCAAGGGCCCGATGGGTGCGACGAGGCACTTCGAGGCCCCTTGGCCGCTTCACGACTGCTTGACCTCCCCCGGGGGGGGGGGGGGTGGGGGAGAGCAGGCCGCGCGGCCACGTGGCCAGATGGAAGGATTCTTTCTCTCTATTGTGCGTACCCCTGAGCCCATATCACCAACATACGACTTGGTTATTATTAATAGTCATAGTAATATTTCATTGTTGTCCTTGTAAAGTTGATTTATTAATGGATAATCAAAGATTAACGATGGTCCGATTTCACTATTCCAGTTTCTGTAAAAATATCTTGAACTTCAATAATATTACAGTAACACCGTGCTTCCTTCATGTGGATTGTGCTAAGGTTTCTGTTTTTTTAATTCCAAGTTTAAGTGCTTCCTTTAGCTAGTAAGATGTCCCAACTAAATTTCTTTCAATACACCTTCCATTTTTATTCCCGTTCTAGATTGCAAAAACAAGTTAAAGCAGCTGTGGTTAATGATGCTGACAATTACAGGAAAATAGCTGACAAAGTTGGTGAAGCCGGATATTACGTCGTGGTGCCTGATTTCTTCCACGGGCGACCTTACAATGGAGAACCAAGTATAAACATTACACAATGGATCATGGCTCACTCTCCAGTAATTGTTTTCACCAATTCCATAGCTTATTCGATGACGATTATCGAGGAGTCAATTAGTTGATATTGATCAGTATATTCAATTGAGATTTCAGGTGAAGGCAGCTGAAGATGCTAAACTGATCTTTGCTGCTCTAAAAAGAGAACGGAAATCTATTGTTGAAGTTGGAGGTTATTGTTGGGGCGGTAAGCAAACTAATTAAACAGCATAAATATGTGTTTACATATCGTCCTACACTCCTACATCATTACATCAGTAATAGACTTTAGAAAACTTTGTAAATTCTTATCTAAATACCATAGCTAGATATCGTTCATATTGTAGTCTTAATGCCTCTCACAGTGCAAGCACCCACTATAAGTTACCACAAGATAACAGCTAGGATAAAAAGCTTTGAAGACCCTCTCTTCACAGTGCAAGCACCGCGTGTGGGACCCACAAACCCCCAACTCCTCACCGGCTCCTCCTTCGCCGCTTGACCTCTGGGTCTTCGTCGAGCTCGGCGGCGGCGGCGGCAGCGGTGGGGGCCGCGCTCTTCTCTCCTCCCTTCGCCGGCGCCGGCTCCCCTCCTCCCTTCGCCGGCGCCGTCTCTCCTCTCCTTCGGGCCAAGCAGCAGCGTCGTCCTCCGGGTCGAGCGGCGGCGGCGGCGTCCTCCATGCCGTGCAGCGGCGGGAGGACGGCGGCGGCGGCTCTCCCCTCGTCCCTCCGCCGGCACGAGTTATTTCCCCACCGATGTCGGACGAAGACGACGATGAGCTTGACCGGCGTCAAGGAGCTCGCCGAGCAGGGGGACGACGACCTCGAGCGGCGGAGGGCGACAGCGGTGGCGCGGATCTGGAGTGGAGCGGCAACGGCGTCCTCGTCCTCATGCTTCATCTCGACTTCCAAGCGGCGACGAGGGCTCGGAGGGTGACCACGAGCGGTCATGGCGGGTGGCGGTGGCGTCGTCGACAAGCTGACAGGAGGGAGACACGGTCGTGGCGGACGGCGGTTGCGTTGTCGACGGGCTGACGGGAGGGAGGCGCAGTGGTCGGCGGCGGCGCAGTCGTGGCGGGCCCCGTGGCGAGGCTGCGCCAAACTTTTTCAGAGCAAGTCGCCAAGACACTCGTTGCTCAAGAGAGACGTGAAAAACCTATGAGAGCTATGGAGCCCACTTGTTTTTCTCTCCGCATAGATGAGGTAACCCACCACGTAGGAGCACTGTGAGAGGCCTAAGAACAAAAGTTCAACAAACAGGAAAGTTAGCTGTTGAGGTTGCAAAAACCAATGAGGTTGAAGGGTTGAAGGGGTTGTCATCTCTCATCCTTCATTAATGACTGCTGATGATATGAAAGGTGAACATACTATGGTTGCGCTATATATATACATGAATATTGTTTAATAATTTCATGTAAGTTGTATCCAAGTATAGTCTCTGTTTTTCTTATTCCAAATTCACCTTGACACAGATGTCAAATGCCCCATTGAAATCCTTGGAGCTGATAATACACCATCAAGATTAGTGTACCTGTTTGTGAATGCCTTCGTCAAAGAAATGAGGTTAGTTCCCGCTGGTCTTCATTGGCACTTGATGCCAAATTATGCTAGGTAGGATTAGTTTCCATAGGATCACTTGAGATCCAAGTCATGTACTTATATATACTGGCCCACTAAGGGTGCGCCCGTTTCAGCAGGTGCGGTGGACTGATTAGCCGCACGTAAAATAAGAAATAAGATTAGCATATGATTAATTAAGTATTAATATATAATTTTTTATGAATAAATTTGTTGGATTTTTTAAACTACTTCTTTATAGAAAGTTTTCGCACAAAATATATCGTTTAGCAGTTTGAAAAGCATGCTATCAGAAAACGAAAAGAATCTAATCCTTTAAGCTGGAAAGAGCGCTAAGGCTTAAAATACAACAAGTCTAATATTCACAGTAACCTCTCTCTCTGCACACTATTCTACACAAAAGCATCAGCATAGTTCCCTGTGCCTTGTTACCGTTTTCAATAAACAAGTTTAAACGTTAGCACATTGTCAATAAACAAGCTTTACAATTGTTTATTTTTATTTCTTTAACAC